GCGCAGGCAGCGGGGCCCAGCCAGGCGGGTCATGCAGCACCCGGAGAGCAGCGCGGCACAGGGAAGCGGCACAGGGAAGGCACAGGGAAGCCCCAAGGCCAGCCCCGGCCCCTCTCACCGCCGCCGCCGCTCCGAGGCTCGGGGCCGGGAGGAGACGGGCCCGGAACGGGCGGCGCCCGGCGCGGAAGCGCGCGCGCGGGAAGGGGCGGGGCCAAGGGGGGCGGGGCCTCGGGGGTATTTAAAGGCGCGCGCCGGCCGCGCTCCCCTCAGAGGCGGTGAGGGAGGAGCGGGGGTGGGCTGTGCGCATAGAGGATGGTTATAATTAGGAAAGATCCCTTAAGGATGGCGGAGGGGAAGCTTTAAGAGGAGTGGCTGAGGTCAGTTCTTTTATTCAGGCTGGAGAAGATGAGATTGAGGTCAGGCCTTCAGTAGTCTCACGAGGGGAAGAGGTGGAGCAGGTTCCAATCCCCTCTGTCGCGTGTGTGACAAGGAAATGGCTGGAGGAATTTTATGGTGGTATCAGGGAAAGTTTTTTTACCCAGAGCGTGGTGGAGCACTGGCATAGGCGCCTTAGTGCTGTGGTTATGGCATCAAATCTGACAGAGCTCAAGAGCTCAGATCCGTGGTGGGAGTCCTGGAATGTTCTGTGCGCTGCCAGGAGTTGGACTCGATGTTCCTGCTGGGTGCCTTCTAACTCAGGATATTTTGTGATGCTTTGGTTTCAAGTCCAACTGTGTGTCCAGCACTGCCACTGTAACCCCAAACCACATCACCCAGCACCCGATCCAGACGTTTCCAGGGATGGGAACCCCACCCTGGACAACCTATTCCCATGCCTGACCACCCAAACAGTGAAAACATTTCTCCTAATATCCTAATATCTAATCTGAATCTCTCATCTCAGTTTAAAGCTGTTGTTTCTTCTCACTGCAAATAGACGAGAGCGAGTCTACCTCAACACAACCTCCCCTCAGGTAATTTTGGGGAATTTTGGCTTCTCCCTGAGGAACCTCTTTTTCCAAACAAACGCAGACTGTGGGTGCTGAGGGACCCCTTTACATGGAATTTTGGGGATGGAGCTGACTCTCAGTGCAGCCTCTTTGAGGTTTCTGCATATCAGCAGATGCTGTGCTCTTCCGTGCTGCTGCTAAGAGATGGAAATGAGACAAATCTTGAAGGTTTTCCATATAAATCCAGAACAATTATAGTAGGTATGGAGTGAAAGCTGGCCTGTCCTTGCTATCCATAACCCGGATATATATCCATGACCTAGCAGATAATCAGTTTCTGTAAATCGCTGTATGAAATGGAGGGTTAGCAGAAAAAAACCCCAAAAAACCAAAAAAAAACAACAACCAAACCACTTAGAAATTGAATAATGGCAAAATTATTGGACTTTGAGGTAACAAGCTCCTGGTCTTTCCCTATGACTTCAGGTTGAGGCCGTCCAGTTTTTTTATTTAATTGTGCTCACTTACAAGTTTCTGCTGGTATTTTGGCTGCTGCCCAGTTTAGAGCCTTGTTCTCTTTTTGCTGTGGGTGTCCCATCATCTCTCACAGCAGGAAGAGGACAGGTAGGGAATTATGTTTAATTAACAGCACAACTCCAGGCAGTTTCCCTTCTTAAGGTGGCTGATATGGGGAGAACAAGAGACACTGTTGAAATAGTTTGATCAGATACCATCCAAGGAGTTATTTGGAAGTTCATTATCAATTTTTACAGCCAGCCAAGCCAAAACTCGTGGGTTTCTCTTATTTTAGTGCCTGGTTGTTTGAATTTCAGAGCAGGGAAGTTGGGAGGAGCCCTGGTGCAGGCAGGAAATGGTTAAGAGTTCCTATCACCTGGGAAAGCAATCCTTTGATTTTTCAGAGGGCGCTAACATGCTGCAGTTCATGGAAACAAAGGGAAGGGGATCAAGTAGAAAAGTTGTTCTTGGATTTTATTCTCAGTGGCAGAACTTCTGAGGTCTGGATATTGATGTCTGCGGGGAAAATACGGAGATTTTGGATTAAAAGGGATTTTTTTTCCCTTATCATCATTCAAAAAAGGATCTATGAGGTAAGTCTTGATCCAACTGGTGACTTTAGATAACTTCTTTTAAGAGTGAGGAGTAAAGAAAACGCCTTTATCTTGCTGACCCATTTTAAAACAGTGAATTCTTTGCTGAAATTATTCCTCGGGCAGGGAGCAGAGGCAGGAGCGTGAGTCAACAACTGCACAGAGCCCACGACGCTCGCTTGTGTTGTCTGCATTCAAATCGCTTGCATTCATTCCTGAGCTGGAGTATGGAAATTCAGCACTATAATGAGCCTGGGGAATTTGCCACTCGGAGTTGCAGTAAATATTTCAGCGCTGACACTCTTTCAAGCTGTAGTAGTGGCTGTGCTCATGTGCTTTTGGAGTGGGGTGCTTCAAGCATCTCTGGTGGTGGCTCTTAAAGTAATTCCCAAGCCTTGTCTCTTGAATCCTCATTGGTGTCCCCAAGGTTTTGTATTTCCAGCTCCTGTAAGGACCAGGCTGATTCATTTTGGGGCTCTAAGAGAGGGGTCTCGATTGCCATGAATTCTTTGCCTGCCTGCACCTGAGTTCTCACCTTCAAAAGTGCGACTGGATTGTGTGTGTGTGTGTGTGTGAAAACAGATGATTTCTCACGCCAGTGTGGCTGCCCCAAGTGTGATGGATGGTGACGACTGTCACTGAGAGCCAGTGCCACATGAAAGGAAGTTTTTACATCCCGTGGAGAGCCCTAAAAACCCATCCATTCACCTTGGAGCTGCTTTAACTGCGCATAAACGGCACTCTCACTCTTGGGCAGCTTGACAGATTTATCTACAAGGTGCTGAGTTCCGGTGGATTTCTGGAGCCTGGTGAGTGTGTGGTGCTGCTGGTTCCACTTTTCCCTCTCTGGCTGCCTGTGAGTGGGCGCTATCTGCAGCGTGGGTGACTCCCCACGTGGATCAAAGCGCAGGGCTGTGCTGTGACACATCAGCATCTCTGCTGCAGCACCCACCTGGCCAGTTCTTCCTGCTCTTCCCACTGCACCCCCACGCTTTGCTCCTGCTTTCTCATTGTCCAGGAGGGAGAACACTCCAATCCAGAGCTCCTTCTGTCTTGGGCATCAACGGAGACTTGGAGCTCTTTTGTTCTTTGCCATTTTATTCCCCATCGCTGCCTTTCTGATCCCCTGGCCACGCCGAGCTTTTAGCATCTCCCTGTGCTTGTTCCCAGCTCCTCAACTCTCTGTTCCCAGGTTCTGGCTGGGCAGGAATGTTTCATCACCCTGCCCTATTTTGAATTTGTGCTCTGGTCCATCACATTTTGCTCCTTCTGGATCCCTGTGGCACCTGCAGGAATAAATTACTGGAGCTGGGTGTCAGGAACTCTGCCTTGGAGCATTCAACTCCCTGTTGTTGGAAGGGATTACTTTTGCATTTACACAAAAAAATTGCAAACCCTTGTATTTCTTTCTTTCTTTTTTTTTTCTTTCTTTCTTTTTTTTTTAATCTTGTCCTTTTTTTAGCAAGATTTCTCTTGTTGGAAAAAAGTTTTCTCTAAAATCTTGTCTGCTAAGTGCTCTTGCTTCTGTTGTCAGGATCTGACATTCATTTCAGCTATTCAGTGTGAAAACCCTTTCCAATTTCTTTACCAGTGCTATTGATTAAAATGCAGTTTACTTTTCTGGGGAAAATTTGATATTCAAAAATGTCTTTTTGCTGTGAGTCAGAATGTACTTTTCCGTGGAATAAAAATTCTGGAAAGAACAAAAAAAATATGCTATTGGAAATGTTGAACAAATTATATTGTCGTTTCAACCTGGTTATATAAGAAAAAAAGACATAACTTCAAAGTCCAAATGAAAAGCTCTGGTATTTTTCTCATATTTTGAGAAAATGAATACATTTTTCTCCAGCTGCTCAATTTTATCTGTTCAGAATTTTCCATATGAAACTCTGAGAATGTTCTGTACTGGCCCTAACTCCAAGTTCCTGTTTAACTCAGCTGGCTGTTTCAGGTTACATATTAAAAATGAATTATGAAGCTTTTTCTCCTTAGTTTTCAATCATTGATGTTTCTTCTAGAAACTAATAAAACTATTTCCATTTTTTTGTGTAGAAGTCTATCGTTCTCAGGTTATAAATGTTGTATGGTACAATTATTTAGAGTTCTGAAGAAAACTGATAGAAAAGATCTTTGGAATGCAACCGGTTAAAATTTAATTTTGCAGATTAGAGATCAAAAAATGTCTGCGGTAATTTACTGCTGGTTTAGATGCCCTCATATGATGCTCTCTCTCCCTGTCAATATTGCTGTGGTTATTTTGGGGGTTTTCAATATTCCCTTTTTCCTTAATTGAAAACTCTTTGCTGTGCTAAGTAGAAAGGACCTGAGCTCTGCTGAGCTGGGTGCATTGAGCTGCCTAAATTATAAGAGGAATATTTGTGGCAAGATCTGGTTTTCATTCTAAAATAAAATCCCTGAGGAGAAAAAATACCCTGGGGGTGATGGGATTTGGGCTCTGGATGTGCTGCTCTTGGATTGGTTTTTGGTGGTGTGGCCTCTCCTGGGCTGCTGGTGGGCACTGCCAGAAGGGACCAGCTTTGGGGGAGTCCTCTGAGGGTTTAGGTGCTCCAGTCTCCAGGACAACACTGTCACATTGTTTTGGGGGGAAGTTCAGAAAGAGAAATGCCACCTTGTACTTTTCCAGCACTGTAATACCCTGATTATTCTTGATTTTTCCTCAGTCTGCGACTTCATGAAGCCCATTATTCCTTGTCCTGAAGAGCAGCCATTTCCATGTCCACCACTCATCCTTTCTCTGTTCTAACCTGTGCTTTCATCTCACCACAGATGATTTTCTAGCCCTTGGAGCTCTCCTCTGGACTCCAGTTGTCTTCCCAGCTCCAGAAGTGGTGCCCCAAACCCGAAGAAGACTTCAGCAGAAGCTCCAGCAGAGCTACCTGGAGGGAGAGGACTCCCCAAATCCCCAGTGGTGTCAGAGGGATGAATTTCCTCCTGAGCTCCTCTTCCCCACTCTGAGTTGTCTCCATCAGCTCTGCCTCTGATACCCCTATGATTTGGTAACTATTTTATCTGTTCCCCTCCTCAACTTCCCTATAATCTGTAAAGAAAATATTCCATATCTGCTTCACTTCCTACTTAACCCCTCAAAATTTGTGGGTGAGAGGCACGGACAAAGTAAGTGGAAAAATCAACACATTTGCAAGCCAGTTTAGAGCTCAGCAGAGAAAAAAAGGAGCAAAATATTTTATAAAATCCTGGAAGGTGCAGGCAAATGGAAATTTTCAGTTTAAAGTAGAGCTTTATTTTGGAATTCCTCAAGGAGAGACTGGAATTCTGCCACAGTGTAGTAGTCTTATATTGCAGGAAACCAGGAATGCCTCAGTCTCTTGCCCTGTACACTTCACAGATTCTCACTACATTATACAAGTTTGACTTGTTAATTTTATAAAGTAAAAAGAAGCAAAAACCTTTACAGGCTGATTTCCTGTGCTCAGAAAGAAATGCCTGAGAACTGCCTGGAGCAGGTTCACACCATCATTTAACTCCAGCTTTCAATATTTGGTTTCCACACAACCCTTGTGTCTGTGAAAGCAGCATCTCCTCAATTTTTTGGGTGCCATGGAGGTGATTACATGTAGAATAGAAGATTTCTGATGGAGTTTTCTGTCAGCTTCTGCAAAATTAAATTAATTTCACAGGAACTTCACTGGGAAAATTCCTGTTCTAAATAACTTTTGTCATTGTGAGTGAGTAGCACAAGAGAATGTGGTAAATTCAGCTGAATTCCAGTGCACATATTCTTGGCATTTGTGTATTTTCAGGGAGTTAAAATCCCATGTTATAAAGAAATCCAATGATTTAGTTACTGAAGGAGCCATAAGTGATGGGAAAGGATTGTGTTGGATTTTATATAAGAAAGTTCAGCTGCAGTTTCTGGTGTTCTACTGAGTGGAGATACTGCAGAGACCCTTGAGAAAGAGAATTTTATTTCTGATAACCAAAATCTGAGAAAAGACAGCAATAACATTTTCTGAGCAACTTACTTAAAGGAGCAAGCTGATTTTAAAGGTTTTTCTTTCAACATCCTTATTAGACACAAAAAACGCATCTCTAACGGTAAATTTCTTCTGCATGTTTGGACTCATCCTACTTTGGAATCTAACCAAGAAAATGCTGCTGAATTTCCATCCCTCAATGTTTGATTTCAGGTGTGGCTGCCCTCATCAGCTGAAAAATATGTCCATCCGAGGCCTGAAGAAGAAACAACCAAAGACTTTTAAAGTCAGAATTATAACAGTGGATGCTGAGATGGAGTTCAGCTGTGAGGTGAGAGTGTCAGCAAATGCTGGGGAGCTGGGCAATGCCCTTTGGATTTGCAAGAATTTGGAGAAATTCAGATTATCAGTTCGTGGATGGTCTTAAAATTGATCTGCTATTTTTATAAATAATGGATTATTTAATCTCAGGTGTGTTCTTCTCTTAACTCTGTTCAGAATTTAAAGCTGTTTGCATGAAATCCATGTGATTAACACAACTAAATTAACAGTAAAGCTGCTTTCTTCATTCCAGTTGTTTGTAAGGATTCCTTTTCTCCTTGAATTTTCTTTCTTTTTTTTTTTTTTTGGAACTGACACAACTCTTTAAGACACATCCACCTTGGATAAACTGGTCAGAGCTGGTGCTAAGATGTTGCTTAAAAAATAATTTGTAAACTGGTACTTTTGTTGATCTGGGTTATTCTCTTCCAATTTGCCATTTATAAACTCCAGTTCTTTACCTGCAATGGGTGTTTGGATCTCTGGGCAGAAGAGAAAAAAAGGATTGATGAAAAAGCTGGAAGTTCTATTAATTATGGCTGATAAATTAATCAGGGAAATCATGGCTGGGGAAAAAGAAATTATCGATTGCTAAACAAATTGGGCTGTACTACTGAAGGGACAGAACTGTCCCTGATTAATTAATTCCTAATCATCCAGCAAAAGCAAAACAAGACACACAGGAATTCTGGGGAGTTGGAAAACTCAGTTCCAATGGGACTGGCAGTTTTAGTGAGACCTGGCTGCTCTGAGAGCCATTTAATATAATTTATTAGGTCTTTCACAAAGAGAATAGATTAATCTTGTATGACTTACTGTTCTGGAATGCTTGCAGGCAGAATTGTGAGAATAAAGGATTTGGAAAATTTGATTTAGAGATCAGAGTCCTTGTTAACGAATAGTATGTTCTTTCCTTTGCTACCTCTCCTTTCTCCCCAGACACTGCTGTTTTGCTGGGATGATTCCCACTCATATACTGCCTAAAAGTTCACTTTTTTTTTTTTTTCCCATTCAGTTTTTAGTTCTAGCAATTAGATAAAATGACCTTTCTGAAATTTGGTCAAATAGAAGGAACAGATGAGCAGCCTCTCTGGTGAAAGGAACAAGGCATCAGATGTGTGTGAATTTGGGACCTTGAATCAAAGTTTGCTCTCTGTGGCTGCTAAATTGAAATTAAAACATTTAAGAGGACCCATTTAAATCAGAGTAGGATAAAGGCTTGGCCTGGTGCCACTGAAATATCTGAGGGGTGTGAAAGGTGGATCTGTTCTCACTGTTCAGCATTGCTACCCCGTGTCCTGATTTGATTTCCCCTGGCTTTCTCTCAGTCTCTCCAATTTGTATAAACCATTGACTCAAAATTTTGGACAAATATTAATAAAGACTTGCCATATCCCAGGAAACCAATAATATAATCCCCATTCCCCCAAGTGCTTGGTAGCTAAATTACTCCAGCTGCTCTCTGGATGTGTCTGGAGAGGGAGAGGAGGTGGAACACAGCAACTCTGATACAGCAGCAAGAATATTTCATTAAAAACCTAAAGGTGAAATAAGATTTCATAGGAGAAAAGGCTCAAATGGAGCAAATTCATTTAGGATATACATGTTTTTCTCGATTTTTCTCTCTTTCAGATGAAGTGGAAGGGAAAGGATTTGTTTGACCTGGTGTGTCGAGCCCTTGGTTTAAGGGAGACTTGGTTCTTTGGCTTGCAGTACACAATTAAAGGAATGTGCACCTGGTTAAAGATGGACAAAAAGGTACAGGAGACAAAATGGGTGGCAATTAATTATTTACTTCTATAAATATTGACTTTCTGGAGCATGGGAGCTAAATGGGTATGTTCCATGAGAACTCAGAATTTGACACGGGAGCTTTTTTTAAGGTGAAAATAGGATTATTTGCTCTGATTGCTTCTATCCCATTTGGCCTGCAGCATCCCCCACTAATCACCTCTGATTGCTGTTAGATTAAAGCTCAGAATTACCCTTCCTTCTAAAATATGGGAAGGTTGCTTTAAGTGGATTATTGGCTACTTTCTGATTTTCCTTGGGAATATTATCTTCAGACACTCATGTATCCTTTTTGCTGCTGATTTGATTTTATTTTATCTGTCAACAGGTTTTAGATCAAGAAATCCCCAAAGAAGATCCCATTAGCTTTCATTTTTTGGCTAAATTCTACCCGGAGAAGGTAGAAGAGGAACTCTTACAAGAAATTACCCAGCATTTATTCTTCCTTCAGGTCAGGAACAGTTTTGAACCATGAATTCCTTCTGTATTTCCCCCAATCCTTTTGCATTATCTTTGATCTTGCTGGCAGCTCAGGATAATTTTGCTTGCTTCAGCTGTATCAAGAACTTTGTAGACATTATTTTTATGAAATACAAACATCTCTGCTGCCTGCTGTGGGTTTGTGTCCAGGTAAGCTGAATGTTTCATCTTCTGCAGGTTTTTGTGACAACACCCAGCAGTTTGGGGGATAATTCCAAACCTGAATATTCCAGGCTTGTTTTGCTCCTTAATATGTGTTAAAAAATAATAAAAATTCATGCAAAGCTGGAACTGCTGGAAGAACTGTGAGGCTTTTGGGGAGATCTTGTGCTGGAGGGCAAAACCTCTAGAAAACAAGGATTCCCTAAACTTTCATTTTGGATTATGGGGATAAAAGATCATGGAATATGACAGGCATGCTGAACTCCAGGTTTGTTCACCTGGCAAGGTTTAAGAGGAGCAGAGCAGCAAACACCATTTGAGCTCCCTCAAAAAGCAGATGAAGGAGCAAATTCTTGGAACTTTATCCAAAAGAAAGATGGATCAACCAGGAAAAAGCTCCATATCTGAGTTTGGGATGGTCACTTCCAATGTCTGGGACATCCAGCTTCTCTCCTGACTTGCTGTGGAGTCCCTCTGGAAGTTTCAGCCCCTGGAGTGCTGCTTTATTCCAGCAGGATGTGTCTGTGCAGGTAGCTGAGATAAATGCAGTCTGCAGCTGGAAATAAACCCAGTAAATTCCTCGTTCCTTGAGGAGGATGTGCTGATGAAACTGGGGAAATGCTGCAGCTCTGAGGGTTCATAAACCCACCAGAACTTCATCCAGAACCTTCAACCCCTTGGCAATTTATTTCTTCAGCTAATTTTGGAAAGGAATGAGAACAGCAGAACTCTTCCTACTCTTTTAATCCTGATTTTTCCACTTTTTTTTTCTTTTCTGCTTGAACCTGCCGTAGCTAGCAGATATGCAATTAGCAAATTCTTGTCATTCCAAAGTAGGAAAACAAGGCTGAAACAAATTGGAACTTGCAAAGTTTCCTGACTGTAAGAACTTCAGCTAACACCTGGATGCTAATAGGAAAAACATGTTCAGACATCTGGATGCCTGAAGATTTCAGCTCTCCTGACTCTTCAGACCTTTGCAAATTAATGTGGCATAAATGCCTGAATAAATGTCAATGACTAAAGTTAAATAATGTCTGCTTAAAGATGAGGTAATTTATTGCTTCTTCAGGAAGTTTAACAAAAAGTCCTTGTAAAAACTGATCAGAAAAAAAACCCCAACAACCCAGACACTTATGGGGGATTTATCTACATTGTTCTAAATTCTGGAGCATGATTTGCACTGTGGAGAATGAAAGCTGGAGCTTTCCAAATTGGAAGAAAAATATTTTCATTCTTTCCATTTTAACAGCTTAGAAGGAATGTTCCCTGTACTGTAACTCAGCTTCACAGATTGTGCTCACCAGGGACTAAATTTAAAAGCAAAAACTTTCTTGGTGGCTCATTTCAGTTCCCAGCACCTACATTGGTGTGTTTGTAAACATAACTTGTGCTAGCTCAAGTCATTTTCTATTTGGAAATGTTTAAGGCAGTGAGCTATGCAAAATTTTGTTGTCTTGTGCTTGTTCCTAAGCTAAATACATCTGAGAGGAGGATTTGGCCAGATTAGTTTCCCCTTCCCTCTTTAGGTTTTCAAACAGAAATTGCACAACTGATTTAAAATCAAACAACACCTCACAAACTATAACACCTCTGCTCTTGGTAGCACCACAGGTTATTAAAATGAAAATAATGTTGAAAGACTCTTTAGCATTGTCTGATTGTGCTTAGACCATTGAAAATGAATAAATTAAGTGCTTTATTATTCAGCTTCTTTTGAGGGTCTCCTTCATTCTCTCATTCTGGAAAGCTGGAGAACATTTCTTATGGTTTTCATATGACAGCTGCACAGCCCTGAGTCTGCTCTGCTGGACCTGACCTCCAGAGCTCCCTCCCAATCTAAAGTCTGATGTGATGCAAAGCTGACTTTCCTAAAGACAGGCAGGGGAAAAAAAGGGATTGTTAAAAGAAATGAAGCGCAGACAATAAAATTGATGCTTTATAGGATTTTCTTTTATAGGACTCCTTATGTAAGAGTGTGGAGACAGCTGACTGGCATTTTTGTTCTCATTAAATGCAGTGATAACTAAAGGCTTCCTGTGTTCCTGAATGCCAATTTCTTGTTGCTGTTATTAACTCCTAAAGGTGATATTTGGTGCCAAGTTCTAGTCTGGGCATGTCTGCTTTCATTTCAAGCCTGACTTAAGTCCTGACTTTGAGCTTCTTGAACTTGCTCCCTTTTTCTGTTGGTTTAGGTTAAGAAGCAGATCCTGGATGAGGAAATCTATTGCTCCCCAGAAGCTACAGTTTTACTGGCTTCTTATGCTGTTCAGGCCAAGGTTTGTGCACAGAAAATCTCTTTTTTAATTGACTTTTTTTCTCTTTTAACCCAGCACATCTACATGGTGGTGTGTAAAACACAGCAGGGTTAAAATTTACTGGTAAAGTTGGTCATCCTTGAAGGTACAAGCACAGCTAGGAAAAAAACCCATTAAATGCTACTATAAGGATTTTTTTTCTATGCTTCTTCAATTTAGGGGATTTATTTGGGCCTAACATTTTAGTGTAATCTTTCTCCAGGCTAGAATGATTTGCAGTAGTTTAAAAAATTATCATGGATGCAGAATGTGCTCAAAACAGAGCTCACAATGGGATGACATGAAACTTGTTTGTGTCTCTGAGTTCTGTTCCCTTCTTGCCACCAAGAGCCTGACTTACACAGTGGCAGGAGATGAACACAATTTAGCAGGGCTGTCCTTGTGCAGCAGATCCCATCCCTCTGCTTCAGAGGGTGAATTCCTGGGAAATTCCTTCAGAGCTGCAGATTCCAGGCTGGGCTTGAAGGTTATCCAAATTGGGCTTGAAGGTT